GAAAATGCTCTGCACCTTAATTAACAACATTGATGAGATAAAATTCCAAAAAAAAGAAAAAACGGTGACTAAAATGATTGAAAAAGGTGTGACTCCCGCTGTGGCTGAAAAGATTAATTAAATAAGATTATTTTACAATCGAACAGTTTTATTACGAAGTCAAACAGAATGGCAAAAACATATATTTTTTACACATTACATAATCGAAAGCTTGCACTTACGAATTAAAAGTTAATACTACAGATACCCTTACATTTAATTAATCAATTCTTATATCTAGAACCAGTCGAATGCGGATTTCTTTTAATCATTACATTATAGGTAACAATAGTTTAATGTACAGTGACTATTCTCGCCATCGACGCGTAAACATGAGTGCTTTTAACTAACTCGCATTATGTGTATGTATATACTGTAATTAGACAGTCTGATAGATTCTTTACAATTAAAACTATAAATTTTTCTTACGCCCATGCATGAAGGACAGCTTTGGTGCTCAGTAATCGAACATTTCGAAACAAAGTTAAAATTCGATTCGGTGATAAAAAGTTCGTACAATTCCAACAGATTATCTAGCACCCTGTTTAGTCTTCTCTTGGTGGTCTTGTTTCTTCGACTGCTTCTCTCTCATTCGTTCCGCGTCTCTAGAAAAAATTAAATTGGGTTCATAAGTAAAATACAATGATTTAGATATTGTATTTAATCCTCCGTTGACCATCTATTCTATATTTCCGGGGACAGTTCTATATTTCAGCAGCCTGGCTCCGAAATCTTTTTAAGAAATAAAAGACGTATAAATGTTTTGTATTTAGTTTTTAGTCCTATATTTTCATATTATTATATATATAAATTATGGCATCAAATAAGATAAAAGTGGATTTTGTACAATTAAGTTTCTATTTCTTCTTTTATAATAAATTGTAATAATCGGATNTTAAATCATGTATTAAGAATTATACAAAATTACAAAATTCTGTCATTGTTGCATTCATATTTTTTTATAAACGAAATAAAAATTCTGTCATTCGACATAAGAATTCAAGATCTAACTTTTTTAATACTCTTACAAAATTTCTAATATTTTATACAGTGTTTTAGAATGTAATATCTAACAACTGTTAAAATTTCAATGCTTTGGTATTGTTTTTATGTAAGAATTCATACAACTTTAATGTTGAGCTTAACGAATTAATATGTGTTTAGATGTTAGAAAGATTAGTTTACTATAGAAAATGTTCCAATTTCGGCTCACTGAGTTAAGATTACATATGGGAAAAAGTGCCAATGAATATAAATTACTACATGAACAGAAATTGAGACATTTACCATATATGATGTATAACATACATATAATTTTTTATATTTCTCTGTTTTTTTTTAGAAGATGCAATGTTTCTGCAAAATGCTTCATCTGATACATCACATAGTTTTCCTTGTTTTTTATATAAATCGAAAATTTGTCGTTATAAAGTTTCTTTTCCTTTCATTTGAAACCGTACAAGGAGGACGCATGTTCCCCACCTTTAGAGCATTCGTGCGTGAATGACACAACTGCTCATGTCTGTACCCAGCTTTAGACCTACCACAGGCATTTTTTACACTTTTATTAGAAAGTCAAGTAAAAAACTTAAAAATTGTGCCCTTTACTTTTTATTTGGTAAATCCGAATTACAGTCTAAACCGATATTAAGGAGGTTCATCCGCCTAAGGAATTAATAGATAGATCTCGAAAAAAAAAATAATATAGTGTATACCAGNGACGTAGAGTGTAAATAAATCGCGTTTTTAAACTTTATTATTGGAGTTTCTAAAAAAATGTGAAACATGCCTTTGATAGATCTAAGGATATTATATGCGCGTACAAAGTTTCATCTAAATCGGTTAACGTTGCTATGAGCTACAAACAATCCAAAATTAAGAACATCACAGGTATCCATGACGTCTGGCCTACGTGAAATAAATTGGAGAATTTTTCTTTGTGTCTAATTTTTGTATGCTCTCATCACTTTTTATGAAACTTTATACATGCACATAGCTTAGTTAAATCTACAAACGGGATGTTCCACATTTTTATTAAAGACCCTAATAAAGAATCATACCTCATCAGTCTTTCTTCTTCGAGATTCTGACTTTTGACGAATAGCAATAATTTCAATCGTTTGTTATATATTATATACTAAACCATACCTTCTAACATCACAAAGAAAATGAAGTAGTTTCATCCAATATTAAAAATGTTGTTTTATTTCGAAGTGTGTCTTAATATTAATTGTAGTCACTGTACGATGATTCCTTCTCTATTCACTTAAATGTTTCGTAAAATCTGAGCCTAGATAATCGATGTTTTGCTACCTGTAGGCTATGAAAAGGTGAATATTTCAGTACTTATGATAAAAGAAACGTTTACCTACATCACATTTCCTATTTCCTATACCGAAACTTCACCATCCTATGATTTAATTCCTTGTCTAATACCTGCAAACTTTGCCCTATATTCTGTCGCAGCTGGATCGTTCTTGAATCTTGTCCTCAATAGATCATCCTCAACCTTTAACCCTGATGTTCCTTCCCGTATAAATACCAATTTATTGGGATCATTTTTAACCCGGGGTAACTTTTACCGATGTTCCAATACTTGGATCAATTTTGGTCCACGTTCCGACGCCTGGGTCAATTTTGACCTGCATTTCTATATCTGGGTCACTTTTGACTCATGTTTCTATGCCTGGGTCAATTTTGACCCGAGCATATTTGAGGAGGCTTTCTTTCTTTAACCTTGTCCTCATCAGATTATCCTCAACCTCTAAACCTAATATTCCTGCTCTTACAAATCCTAATTCCACTACTCCACGAAACTGGAATTTACACTTCACCCTGCTTTCGTTTAATTCTCAGGATTTTCTCCAACTTGTTCACGACAACTCACGCAGAATAGAATTGCAATGGAATGTCAAGACACTCGTCCGTCTTCGTATTACTGCATTAACTGTATTATTATTATTAATAAAGAATGAATGAAATACAACAAGCTGAATACATGATTCAGCGTTTAAATGGTCCAACAAATCTCTATCTAAAGCACCTTTTAAACTGACACATATCTTATTTTGCATAAAGGTCCGCAGTCTATAAATGAAAAACTGTAATATTCGTGTGCATAAGAATACATAGAAAACTTTAAGTATATGATTTGCTGTTACCTTGCTTTTCGCTGTTCCAACGAAAGACCTTTGTTGCTGTCTTGTTCGGCAGCAGACTTCTTTACAGTCTTTTTCATATTTTTGGCTCGTGCTAATTCGCGCTGGTTTCCTCCTGCATCAGGAAACAATCATACACACCAGCTATTCTAATTAACAGATTTAACGATCCGAGTATTTTGTAAAATTTTTTAACAACTCTTAGACTCACCAAATTTTACAGAGGATCAGAATCGTTAAATAAAATTTAAAATCATGTTAACTATCTTCCGGAAATGCCAGTTAAGCCTTCTCGAATTTACACAAATAATAAACACNTTATGTACTTAAATACTTTAGTTGAAAACATCATTTATACACGAAGCGAAATACATGAACATACAAAATACACAAAAACAGAATACATGAATTATTGTTATTATTCTAATAAAAGAAAGAAGATAAAAGGAAAATCTGATTGAACGATGGAAAATGAAATTTCTGACATAAAATAAATTAGCGTTCCTCGTATGTATACAACGATAACCTAACAAACCAGAGAACGATGTAAATGTAACAATGTCTTTTAAGTGATTAACAGACGATAATTGGAAGATGAATCACGACGCATCAACATGACTGTATACACTCTCTGTGCAAATTGTATGTACTTTTCGATTTGTAATTACGACATTAAAAATTACTCACGGGTCATTCTTTCAGTTCTTGATCTCCGACAAACAAGCACCTAAAAGTCTGGCCCCAATTCGAGTAACACGAAAAAGCACGGCCGTACGCTCCCACCTTTACACAATCGTCGACTAAAATTTCTAAACCAAAATAAACCTGGCGATCTTCTTTCCGTCGGATCGTCTGTCGTCGCGATGGTCGCGATTGACAAGCTGAGCTCCCACTAGTGATAGCTAGATAGAACTATAGAACTGCTACTTTGATACTTTCAAATCATTCGTGATTCGATCACGTTCGTTCCTAATCACGGTGATTTTTCACAGTGGTTCGTGATTTTCGTGATCGCTTCTGATTAGTGTAGAAAGAACCGCGCGCACCTCACATGAACTGTGCGCATTTGAAATAATAGATGATTTGATGAATAGATTAGTAAATNTGTATTCTCTGATATTATATAAAATATAATCACGTATTACAATTTAAAAATAATAACATTTCTGACTCTTCAGTATTAAGGCGACTTCGCTTATCATTTAAAATTAGTTCCGTCTTTGAGAAAATTCTTTCACATGGGACCGAGGTGCCAACAATACAAAACAATTCTTCCATTATATTTTTTAATAATGGAAATTGTGATTTATTTTCTCTCCACCAAATTAATGGATCCTCATTTCTAGGATAAAAATTTTGTTGGTAATACTGCCCAAGTTCCAGTTTTAATCTTGACTGTACAGTCAGATCTGTAGAGTGATTTTTTACATGCATTTCCAGTTTATTCCATATTGACAGTTCATCAGCTTCGTGAGTGCATTCTTCTCTGTTGTTCTCATCATTGATGTCTCGTTGCATCATATTTAATATTTCTCGTTCAATTATATTTAATTGTTCGTCGGTGAAAAATGCAGTTTTGAAGCGTGGATCAAGATATGTACAAATTTGAATCAGGCTATTGTTTTCTATATCTGCGTATCTAGTTTCTATATGGTATTCTATTTGAAATATTACTTGTTGCACATCTATGGAGAAATGTTTCTTTTTTAATTGTTGACATATATCTTTTAAGCCTGAAATTAAGGGTATTAAAATAGAGACAATTGGGTATCTTTGATCACTAATAATTTTTGTTGCCGATTCTATTGGTTTGAGTATAACTGCTATTTCGCGTAATATTTCCCATTCTGAACTGGAGATGCATGGTAAATTGTTATTAATTATTGGTATTGTGGCTTTAATCGGTTCTTCAAGTAATACAAATCTATCTATCATATAATACGTAGAATCCCAACGTGTTGATACATCCTGCAGCAATTTTAAAGCATTTGCACCTGCAGTTACTTGATAAGTATCTAATATGTCCATTGCTGTTGTACTTTCTTTGAAATAAGTAACTATTTTCCTAATCTTGTCTATTAATAAATTGATTGTATCAGTATTTAAACTATGTTTAACAATTAAATTTAGAGTGTGTGCAAAACATGCAATATGATACCATCCTAAATGATGAATTATGCTATTTCTTATATTCGGTGCATTGTCTGTAACGGCGAATATTATTTTGTCTAAAATGTTCCACTCTTCACATACTGTCTTTAAAATATTGGCAATGTTTTCACTTGTATGTGCTTCTGTTACTTTCCTACACGATAATAAAACTGATTCTAATTTAAAATCATTTATAAAATGAGCTGTTATTGCTAAGAAACTGTCGGTATGACGAGATGTCCACGTGTCAGTGGTTACACATATTTTTACAGCATTTTGTACTTTTTGCTTGCAGGTATTTTTACATTCTTCGAAAAGTGCTGGTATCAATGAATGCGAAATGAATTTCCTATCTGGCAAATCGTAACTAGGATTAAGTGCTTTTACAAAATCTTTAAAGCCAGTATCATCCATTATGCTAAACGGTTGCAAGTCATTTATAAATAAGCGTAACAATTTTTCATCTATATTCTTACAATTTGCTACTGTAAGTTTTCCTGGTGAGCCTGTTGTGATCTGTTCTTGAGTACTTGATACTGATTTTAATGCGGATATTGATGCGTACGTTGGTATCGAAGTTGATGATATTAATGTAGATGGTATTCCTGTTTGTAGAGATGACTGCGCTTGTAATATCGGTGGTTCACTACAAAAAACTTCTGCGATATATGGACCCTCCGAATTATTGACAGATTGTGACTGAAACAGATTGACAAACGTATTTATAGATTAGAATTTTTTACATTGACATATAATTATAAAAATTTATATTTAGGAATTAAAGTATTGGAATTCTAGATAGTGTGAATTGATTAATGTAAGATATTTTATTCACGGCTGAAGTGAAAAAGCAACTTCCCTCCCGTAAATCTGGGACGAAAAGTTTAGTCTTACATATGTAAAGTAGAGTAGTTCTCCTCTTCCTCATATAGTCTATCTTCCTCATATAAACTATTTTTTCAATTTATACAAAAGTAATAAACTTTTATTAATTTGAAGTATTTCTCACTATATCCACAGTTAATCTTTATAAAATACAATTATAACTAGAATCTATTAATGACTTATATCTAAATAATTCAAACTTTAATGACTCGGTCTTTTCGCGTATTGTAATAATACAGGGTTTTCCACGCAACGTGTGCATCGTTATAACTTCCAAAATATGCGTTGCACGAAAGATTATTATATACAAAAGTTACATGGTTTAAAAGGGTACATTACGTAGTGCGTTTTTTTATAGTTAGAGGCGTTTCGGTGATTTGAAGATCAACTTTGTTTTTTTAACACAATACTACATTTTTTATACCAAAATATGGTAGAATATCGAATTGCAAGTAAAAAAGTATTGACTGTTATTAGCCCTAAACTTAATAGTTAACGAGTAATTTCACTTTGTTAAAGTTTTTACCTATAAAAAATTAACGCACTACGTAGTGTACTCTTTTAAACCATGTAACTTTTGTATATAACGTTCTGTCATGCAACGCATGTTTTGGAAGTTATAACGCTGCACACGTTGCGTGGACAACCCTGTATAATTATAAATACAATTACTGATGAAATGAATATGAACGTTTGAATTCAAAATATTTACAGAAAATCTGTCTCTGTTTGATAACAACTTACATTAGACACATATACACTTGAAGCATTGGATACATTTTCAGCTGATTGTAATGATACTGCGTCTACTTCCAATTTTTCCAGCGGTGCTGATCCTGAACTCAATTCATCGCATGATGTTTCTCCAATGACTTTTGTTATTCGTTTCCTCGTCTTCATCTTATGCCTAATTGACTTTCCAATATAACCTTCTGTTACTCTCGTCGACTTCCACCCCCGTAAGCTCAAGTCTGTCATAGTAATACCTACATCAAACATATAAAAAAAAATTATATTCCTATAATAACAACATAAAATTACAATACATAAAATGGTACATTATGCAGCAAAGAAGTAAAGTCGCTTATTATTCCCGTGTTGCATATAGTATTTTATTCACGACTGAACTGTAAAGCCACGTTATTTAAAACTAGGTGAGGAACTGAATTTTAAACATTTTACCTCGAACGGCACACAGTATTGCCGACGATCTCCGAAAACAATGACCAGTATATTCGTCCGGATTTTTCAACTTAAGAAATTTGGCTATTTCTCTGGGCATACAACCAAGTCTATTTTTTCCAAGAGGTTGATTTATACATTTGCCTTTTCTGTAAGTCAGGAAGAAACGATCTGACGTTGAATTTCTTGGCCTGAGTGCTTGATAAGCATTAACAACTCCAACTAATTCTCCTTCAATAATAAAACTCCTTTCAGTTTTTTTCATTGTATCCTTCAATACAACTTTAATAATTCCACCAAGATCTAGGACATCTCCAACTCTAAGATTAACTAATTCACAATATCGACTACCACCATAGAAGCCAAAAATTAAAGCAACCTAAAATTTCACATTATTTTACACCATATACATACATTATAAACAATTTACTATAAATAAATCTTTTGAAAAACAAGCTTACCTTTGTAGCTAAATACAACTTATCTGGAGCATCAATCAAAAACTTTATTACATCATTTTCACTCAACACTTTTGACTTCTTAGCTTCATGATTACTCGCCTTTTGTCTTAAAAATGCAATCAATCCAGGAAATTCTTCAATTTTTATATTGTCCTTGATAAAAATTGTACTCCTCAACATAGAATACTTGCTCCAAAGTGTTGAAGCTTTATAATTTTTAGATAATTCACCCATGTACGCCAACATTACATTTTCTGATACTTCATTTACTTTATTTTTTGCTTTCCACTCCGTAAAAGCATTATATGCAGACCAATATAATTCTCGAGATTTACGAGGAAGCAATTCTTCTTTTTCATTATCTACAACTTTCAAGAAATCCGGTTTTATGTCTTTAAAACTTTCTTCATCCTCACTTGACGACATTATCAATTAATCAGAAAACTTTTCAATAACTTCGACAATTCGAAACACAGAACAATACAAACTCACTCTCACTTCTGTTCATGTTCGTGCACGGACAACAGTATCAACGTACTACATCGAAGAAGAATAGTACATTATACAACAAGGGAGTAAAGACGCTCAATAGTTTACAATAGTTCTGTGGGTGAGTTAATTGCTCGAACGAAGCGAGAGAACACCCAAGGGAATAATTGACATTACTGCCATGCAGTGTTGTAAGATTTGCGGAATTTCGATCGCAGCGCGTCCGGTGAGGAAAAGTGGAACTCAGGCCAGGATGGAAGATTTGCGGAATTTTTCCGCCCATCCCATCGGGCATTCTATACAGAGTGACCCAAAATTAGTGTAAAATATTGAAATGGGAGTTTTCTGACGTAATTTTAACCCTTTGAGTGCTGAATACTCGTGGCCTATGCAGCTCGTACGGACGGCGCGCGGCTGACGCTGATGATCGCCGGGGACTGAATACTTTTTCGTGCAGTATGGATCTCGTTGACAGTGTATTTGGATATTCATAATCAGAAAATTAAACAAATCATAAGAAAGATTATATAATCATGGAAAGGCTTCAAATATATATATTTTAAGAAAATAACATTTAATACATAGATATTTAAAGAAAAAACTAATAATTCATAGAAAAAATTAATAATTCATTTGCGAATGAAAAATCTCAAAACAAGGATCAACACATAACCCGACGTCGCATTTTTTGCATTGATATGGTGTATCCTGATCATTTTTGCCAGACGCGTATTTGCGTCCATAGTCTATACTGATGACATCTGCTGAGCGCGTATTTGCGTCCATAGTCTACAGCGATGACTTTCGTTGGACGCATATAAGTGCCCGTAGCACTCAAAGGGATAAAACAAAGCATTGCGATGTTGACGCAATGTGATTTCTGCCCAGTGCTCTGAATGTCAACGTGAAGAAATTCAAAAAAGCGCGGGTAAACGGCGGGAGTAACTATGACTCTTTTAAGGCGTTCTTATGGAGCCATAGTTACAGGTACGGTGATGCACAATATAGACCACCTTCGGTCCTTTAGCCTCTCGCGTCCCGGTCTCACTCATACCTCCTCGTGGTTCCCGCCGTTTCCCATGTCTGTGGTCCCACAAGATCACAGGCATGGCTGAATGAGTGAGACAAAAATGGTCCCTGGGGGTTGCCAGTCCTTTCGGACTTAAAAAGTGTTGGCCCAAGTACGTGGAATCAGCCTCGGATCGAAAATACTGACGGTGGGTCCACTGACTCAGCCGTTCCAGCACAGGATAGATTGGGAAGTGACAACCTCGCATCTGGCGCCTACTCACAACCATCAACATCAGGCAATGTCCCATGTCGCTACCCCGGCTGTGGTAGGCATTTTGGCAAGCCGGCTGGTACATCCTTACATGAAAGGAAAGCTCATCCTGTCTGGTACGACCAATAGACCAAGACAGCACCCGTTAAAGCCCGGCGGAATACAGAAGAGAATGCGCTCCTAGCGCGGAAAGAAGCAGAACTTACCATCCAGGGTACACGTTACATCAACCAGGCCCTCGTAAGGTCCTTTCCTGATAGAACTTTGGAGTCCGTTAAGTCCCATAGGAAGCAAGCTCAATACAGGATATCTTCTGAGCACCAAGAATTGCCTGTGGAGAACCTGCCGGACGTTACGTCTACTGATTTCGATGGTGTGATTGTAGATTATCTGGTGTCATTACCTGCTCCCAGTACACGTGACTTCAGAGCGTTCGAATTGGTGAAATTGTGTAGATCCTTGCGGTAGGCGCTTGAGAAGCTATCGCTTTACCTGCTGGATACCTTTCCTATTAGTAGGAGAGAAAGAAGACGTGTAGACCCAACACCTGTCAACGAAAATCTTACGCGCAGGACGAGACGCAGAGCTAAGTACGCGCGAACGCAGGATCTTTGGACTCGTAACCCTACCAAATGCATCAGGTCCCTTCTTAAGGAGCATCGCCTCGAATCAACACCTCAAAAAGAGGTTATGGTATCGTTCTGGGAAAGAATACTAACCGAGTCGTCGGATGCTTGTCCAGCAGACTTTCCAGCGTGTAGCCCTATTGATGAACTATGGTTTCCAATCACTGAGAAAGAGATCACAGCGTCTTATCCAAATATGAGTTCTGCATCCGGTCATGCATGGGATCATTGCTCGACTTCTTCGGAAAATTACACCTTTGATTGTAATGCGGATACTAAACATCTTCATGTATTGTAAGAAACTTCCTATGCATCTACGGGAGTCTACGACAACTCTTATTCCTAAAAAGTCAGAGCCTGGTAGCCCGTCGGACTTCCGTCCGATTACCGTATCCTCGGTTCTTGTACGGATTTATCATAAAGTCCTCGCAAGACGTTTGTCGTCCAAGATTCCTCTAGATTCAAGACAGAGGGCTTTTCGAGAATCGGATGGCTGTTCGGAAAACGTATTCCTTTTGGACCTTCTATTGCGCTATCATCATGCGAGTCATAAACCGTTATATCTAGCGTCAACTGATGTTGCCAAAGCCTTTAATTCTGTCTCACATATAGCTATTAGTCATACACTCAAACTGCATGGGGCACCAACACCCATGGTGAAATACATCAAGCACGTATATGACACCAGTTCCACTCGCTTGGTATGTGGATCGTGGATATCTCACCTAATCCATC